GCGCAGGGGGAGGAAGCAGCCGGCGCGAAGGGCCGGGCAGCAGCGGGGCCGGAGGGGCGCCTCCCTCCACTGACGCTAAGCCGGAGCCCCGCGGCGACGTCGCGCTTCTGCGTGTGAATGATTTTGTGGCCGCTCGTCCCGCAGATGCGCCTCCGTCGTCTGAGGTCTCGAATCGAAGGACCTTTCGGCAACGGACAAGGAAGGAACGGGCTCTCGGCATCTAAATTGGCTTAGTTACCCCAAAGCCCAGCGCGGTAGCGCCGATACAGATAAAAGCAGTAAAACCCCGCCCTTTAAAATGTATGTGTATAGAAAACAAGCAGCATAAAACAGAGCAAAATCAGGCAGAACAAAACAACTTGGATCTGTTGCTGAACAACAGTAGACGAGGGTAAAATGATTCATGGCCTCAGTCTAGCCCCCGGTTTAGTGAAAGCCCCATCTCTTCCTAAAATGGCAAATCTCGTATTTTACAGCCTAATTCAACATCCCCTTAGCATTTTTAACCACTATTTTCTTCTCTTGAGCCAGTAGCAATGTTTGGGGTGGCAGCGTTAGGCGGAGCCCAGACTTTGTTCTGCCAAGCTGAGTGTGAAGGGATTTAGCCCCTACTGATCCTGTCTGTGCTGGTAGACTCTGCAGTCTAATGGAGGCTCTGCTCCCAAAGGGCTGTACAGAACCTGCCTTCTCCAGGTCATCAACCGCACTGACCAGGCTCTGAGTAGGCCCAAAGGTCTCCTGCAGCTGTGAAAGGCCGAGGCTCAGTTTGGAGCTTTGAGAAACAGCCGAGCAATTGGATCACGCAGCCAAAATGTATTTATTTACCGCAGTGCTTCTCAACCTCAGCAACTTGAAGATGTGTGGACTTCAACTCCCAGAATTCCCCGGCCAGCCTTCTTGCTGACTGGGACATGCCTAAGGGACGTTCAGATGAGAACCAAGAGCTTTCTTTTAACCCACTCCCGTTCATTACCTTCAGTTGCTAACCCCTGTCAAAAAGTTCCTTTTCTGTGATTTCACCAACCTGCACCAAAATGAAAGGACACCTGTCCAGGATTGCTGATGCAAACCCACACTTGCTCCAGCTGTGTGCTATCGCCTTCTTGCCATGTGCTTATCCAGACATGTCTAAACATGGCCCACATACCATTTAACATCGATAGTAGTGTGGCAAACGTTGGCAAATTTACTGAAAGATCAGCACACGGACCAGTACGTGCACACAACGCAGATGCAAGAAGGT